AGCACTTTGATTTTTTAAAAAAAGATATGCTCTACCACAACATGTAACTGGTCTAAGTTTGCTTTACTAGTCGGGTGTTTCCTTCTTCTTTCTGCGTGAACCTGTTCTCCCTACTAGAGCTGCTTTCATATGGGGAGTTTCCTCTACATGGGCAGGAGGAAACCCCCTGCTCTAAAGGGGAGTGTTGTGTCCAAATCTGTACGTAGCTTTTCTGACTCCTGTTCTCCCCCCCCTTTACTCTCATTTTCTCTGAAGTAAAGGGGAAACTATAAAGTATCTGCAAGCGGGACTGTCCGTCTAGGTATCCCCCACAGCTACCTTCAGTTTGTATGTAGACCTTAATTTAGTTTCATACACACTTCACTTTTTCAAATGCTTTTTTGTTTCCTTACTGAGCCATTCTCTAGCTGGGAGGGGAAGAACAACCTTTAAGGGTTGTTGGGGGCTATGCAAAATGCAGGTGTGACAGGATAGAGCAGGATGGGTGGTGGCAGAACATACTCTGTGGGAATAAAGTGTGTGGAGGCTGTTCTAACCCACTGGTGCTCTGCTTGTGCCAGTATTGGGTGTGTTTTCATTAGGGTGGGCATGAACTGCATTTTTGCATTCTGGTTCGTGGCTGAACCATGAACTTATATGAGTTAGGGGATTGGTTTGCAAACCAAGCTGGTATGTAGCCATTCGTCACCTGCGTTTTCTGCTCCTTGGTGCTTTTGGCAGGGAGCAGAAAGCAGGGGCTTTAATAGCTCTGAGCAGAAAGCAAGGGTTCTCCCCACGGAAAGTGATGGAGAGCTGAAAGCAAGGGGTTAAATGGCTTGGAGCTGAGTGGCAGGGAGCAGAAAGCAGGGGTTTAAATGGCTCCAAGCTTGGAGCCATTTAAACCCCTGCTTTCTGCTCTTCATAAACTGCCTTAAAATTCATGGAAATTCATAGTGGCTCTTCAGTTTGTGAACTTCAGTTTGACCAAAATTCATCACAAACTTACATTCACGATCCTGTTCGTGCCCATCCCCAGTTTTCATGCCCCCTGCCCCCATCTGGCAATGGCAGTTGAGCCTGTACGGAGACTCTGCAGTAGACTTTCCTACTTGTATGCAGCAAAATAGCTCGTGCCAGCCTAGGAGGAGGAAAACCTGGGACTTCCCATGTGTTCCAGGGTAGAACAAAGGTAGGTGAGATCACTCTGGGCAGGGAGGGTCCCTCATTCAGAAGGCCGGTATGTGTTCAGAACCGAGCAAACCCTCTTGACTGAGATGAGAGTAGGTTGCAGTCCTTTCTGCTCTGTCCCGATGATTTGGACCTTCTGAAACATCTTTGCTTTCTAAGTGCTGTTTCCCTTGGTGAATCAAAGCAATATTATGTACCTTGGCTCTTCAGGGGTGGCAAGTCTTTCTGGTGGACCCCCGGAGTCTTATTCTCACTGTGTTGTTCGGGAAACACAGGCAGAGCTACTTGCAGGCCAGAAGCATGCATGCTTCTGAAAGTGGCCATTGCGAGTGCTGACCACTGTGCATGTTTGGGTAGCTTCTGGGAATATGGGACCTGTAACAGCCGAAGGGTGGGTTTGCTTGTGGCCGACTGTGCTCGATATCTGTGCAGCCAGAGAATAGGACAATGGACTGTTTTCATCTTTACATGTGCTCTTCACCCCTTGGTAGAAAAGAGCCCTGGGAAATAATAATAATATCTTTGGATTTATTAATCACTCAATCCTGCAGAGCTGCTGGCTCTGAGTGATTTACAGTTACACACATTCACACGGGACTAACAATGATTCATAGGGGTAAAGGAGGACAACATATAAATCTTTTAAGTCGCACACGTTTGCAGCCGACGGGGATTTTGTTCAGCTGTAGGCTTAGCCGTGTTCCAGACGGCATTCACTCGGCTTGGCTTGATGACGGCAGCTTTTTCCAGGACTGCTTCAAGATGCAGCGCCGCACTGCCACTGCCTGGCTGGATCGGCCCATCGCAGGCTTCTTGATGACGAGGAGATCTTTCCAGGCTTCCGAGCTTACGAACTAGACATTCCATTTTGCCGGCTAACACCTCCCCCCCCGGGGGGGGGGTTTAGTGTGCCCACCCTCTCTAAGGAGTGGTACCCATTTTATCTACTCGCCAAAGCTTTCAAACCGCTAGGTGGACGGCGAGCTGGGGACAAGGCTGGTAGCTCACACCAGCACGGGCTAGAACTGACAGCAGTTCTGTTCAGTTCAGTTGTTACTGTAACCAAAGGATAAATCCTCTGTGCCACCGCTCCCCATCACAGTAACGTCTGACAGTGTGAAGATTGTACCGCTGAAGGTTTTTTTGGAGTACTTAGGAACACACTTTGTTCTTAAGCATGGCCAGAGGCAGTAAACTCCTCTCCTGTTTGCCTTGCTGCAATTCTTGAGTCTGACTTCCAGTCTTGCTGTATTTTAAATTTCGTTTACTTCATATGCAGTCTGCCTTTCTTATTGGGAGTCAAGGCAGGTTGCAGAACTAGTATACAATGCAAAATTGGTATAATATATGCAGCAAACTGGATTACAAAACTAGAGTACAATGGTACTATAATGTTGCACCCCAAAAAAATCCTGATTCCCCCCCCCCGATGCTGAAATTACCACCCTGTTCTCATTGTGTGTGGTAAAGGTTCCCTTGCTCGAAAGCCAGTCGAATCCGACTCTAGGGTTGCAGTGCTCATCTCCGTTTCAAAGCCGAAGAGCCAGCGCTGTCCGAAGACGTTTTCCGTGGTCATGTGGCCGACATGACTAAACACGAAGGCGCATGGAACGCTGTTACCTTCCCACCGAAGTGGTACCTATTTATCTACTTGCCATTTCTTGCTTTCGAACTGCTAGGTTGGCAGGAGCTGGAACTAGAGACAGGAGCTCACCCTGTCTTGCGGCACCCGGGTCTTGAACTGCTGAACTACTGACCTTCCACACCCTTCAGTTCAGCGTCTTAACCACTTGAGCCACCGCAGCTCCATTGTATATATGCATATAAAAAGAAGTCTTCCTGGAAATGTTTGTTTTACACTTTTTGTGGAATGCTACAAGCATGGGCTTCCTAGTCTTGTCACCTGTGCTGCCTGGGAAAGGCTCAGCAGAGAAGGTTTGGGTATTGGCAGCTGTTGATCTTACTGCTTTGCAGGGTGCATCTTCCGAAGGCTTTGCTCAGATGCGCAAAGTTGTCTGAGCCCATCAGTATCATTGTGGTCAGTGCAGCTCTAATAGGAGTGAAATAACTCAGAACTAACTTAGTTTGTAAGATAGGTTCAGGCAGGGCTTTTTTTGTAGAAAAAGCCCAGCAGGAACTCATTAGCATAATAGGCCATACCCAAAAGCAGAAACTCATTAGCGTATTAGGCCACGCCCCTGGTGGCACAGCTCATTAGCATGTTAAGCCACACCCCCATGCCTTCCCTTGACTTGCCCGGGCAAGCCAGCCCTTGGACAGGCTGGGGAAGGCATAGGGAGGCATTTAAATGCCTCCCCTATCCTTCCAGGGGGGGCCCTGGCCCCCCTGCCTCAGAGTCGCGGGGGGGTCACGCCCCCTGGTCCTGCCGTGACACCCGGCACACATGCCTGCAGCCACTCCAGGCCTTCCTTCTGTAGCCACCCACACAGAGGTTTTGGCTGTAGTGGGTGTGGTCAACTCTGAAGCCAGCTGGAACTCCGTTCCTGTGCGTTCCTGCCCAAAAATAGCCCTGGGCTCAGGCAAGTAGCTATGTTGGTCTGAAGCAACAGACACACGAAATGCAAACAAAAGCTTATACCCAGAATTAAACTCTTTTGGTCTTAAAGGTGCCACTCCACTTAAACTTTGTTAGTTTGTAAGAGTTTGTGTTTCAGGAAATGCGGTACCTCAGTGTGAGTTTCTCCTCTTTCACTTGCTCTTTTCCATGGTGGGCAGAAATGTCTTCAGGTTTTTGCACCTGGAGTGGTGGGGGCTTCTTCACAACCTGCTGTTTTAGGGACTGATGTCTTTGGTATGATTTATATTAGTTCTGGCAAGCATCTTTCTCTCATAAAATAGTTTAGAGGCATTGCATTATTTGGGAGGCTTTCATGATGAAAGTTTCTGTATATTGAAAATGCAGATACATAATTGAGAAATTCTTTGGGAGTCTAGTGACATGGGGGAAAAAAATGAGCCCTCGCTTCCAGCTACTAAATACCTTGTTGCTGAAAGTATGTTCCACCAGGCCTTCGGATGAGGCAACGGTGGAATATGGCCTCCCTGAGATACTGTCACCACCCGGCAGCAGTTAGCTATCACCAACAGGACGGGGAACCTTTCGCAGCCAGCTATTTTCTGTTTGAACTGTGACCTCCATTTTACGGCTTATTATTATGTTATTACTTTTAATTGTTACTCAAATGTTGTTACCCGTCCAGAGCGCACTTGCAGGAAGGGGCGGGCTATAAATACTAAATTAAATAAATAAATGAGCATTCTGTAGGAGTTCAGATTTATGTGGAAACCCTAAACAGTGTTTCAAAATGACCATTGTGGGCAAAAGTAATGCTATAGCTATGTTCTGTATCCAGCCAGTGGGATTTTTGGAATGCTTATTTACACTGAAGGTGAGAATTTCGTAGTATCAAATCTGGCTGGTAGACTCTGGCTAATTCTAGATCAAAGTGGTGGGCCCTGTCCCTTCAGGGAAATTCGGTACTGAATGGGTTTTCCAGTCACAAGACTTAACTGAATTACGAGAAGCAGCAGAATAGCAGCTTATGGATCAAGACATTGTGAAATCATTGTCTGTTTGGTGGAGAGTGAAAATAACCCTTTCCCTTTTTCTATTCAGAGAGTCTCTGTTTTGGGGTACAAATTCGGTACTGAATGGGTTTTCCAGTCACAAGACTTAACTGAATTACGAGAAGCAGCAGAATAGCAGCTTATGGATCAAGACGTTGTGAAATCATTGTCTGTTTTCCCTGACACACATTTTTTTTTGGGGGGTGGTGGAGAGTGAAAATAACCCTTTCCCTTTTTCTATTCAGAGAGTCTCTGTTTTGGGGTACTTGAAGGCTGGCCCATATGGCTGTGTATGATGAAGACCTCCTGAAGAATCCTTTTTATCTAGCTCTTCAGAAACGACGTCCTGATCTCTGCAGGAAAGTGGCTGAAGTGCATGGAATTGTAAGTAAAGTCCTGTGCCTTCAGGATATGGTGTTTCTGTAAATTCCAGAAAGTAGAATTTCATGTTCTTTGGGGCAATTTGAACACTTAACTAAATGTCCCTTCCCTGTGGTAGCTGTCCATGTACAGAGTTACAGTGTTAAAGACCAGAGCATACTGCTGAGTTCATATTTGTATGCCATTGCTGGAGATAACTGGCAGTGTATTACGTGGAGATTGTATGCAGTTGGTAGGAATATGGGAGAGGCAATCTTCATCACTGTGCAGTGATGTCACTTCTGGTGCAACCTGGAAGTGCCAACATCGCACTGGAGCGGTGCCCTAGCACTCACCCAAAACTCTGTGGAATTTCTGGTGAAGTGCTAGAACATTGCCCTGGTGCAATGCTGATACTTCCAGTGGTTTCCCACTGTGTGAAGACTTAAAATTTCAGCGGCCACCTCTGTTGTACAAGGCCAGTATATTTGCAACTTTTCTGGCCTTCAGTAGTTAAGCAGGTTTCTACCAGAGAAAATGCCTCTTTGGTCTTTTTGTCCAATTTGTGGAGCTCCCTCTTGAGCTCATGGTTACGTAATGGCATACATGAGATTCCAGGACAGCAGATCCCCACGAACCCTGTGAAGCTTTTATGGTTTAGTGGTAGACGGCATGATTTGACTGCAGAAGTTCTGTGTTCTGTGCCAAGACTGGAGAGCTGTTGTTTGATCTGTATTACCTGGCTAGCTGGGCCAGTGGGTCTAATTTAACATATAAAGTGTTTTGCCAGGTGATTTTTTTTTGGAGGGTGTGTGTGTTGATATCGAGTACCAGTCTGTCCTGTATGTCCATTCTTTTGGTGGGTTAGGATTTGTGGAAGGGGGGGGTGGAGTTCTGGATTCCACTTTGCATTTGTTAATGATGTTTCTTCAGTTGGTGTTAAGAACTACCAAGGATTTTTGTGCTGCTATTTTTAACTGTTGTCATAGTTATTGCTTTCAGGGTGGTTTGGATGGTGGTGTTGATTATTTTACTGTTTTCCGTGAGCTCTTTATTGGCATCTCCTGTCTGCAACTGACCCTTTTATGGCGGTGCCAAAGAGTTAAGATAGAAAGTAGATGGTTTGTTTTGGAAGCCATTGTGCAATGCAGCATGATGTGCACCTGCATTCTTTTCTAGTAGTGACTGACGCAAACATCTTAGCAGGTAACTGTTGTGCTAGGACATGGTCTGCGTTGCATAGCTGCCTGAGTGCATTTTATCTTAATAGCGTGCCCTAGCAAAATATGGGTCTAGGTTTGGTATGTGCTCCCCTGATTGTGTTTTTACTGCTTCTTTAGGTCCTGGTTCCATGCAGAGGAAGCCTTTCAAGCAGCATTCTCTCATCTTGCCAGTTTGACTCTTATGTTCTCCAACCAGCAGAAGAGAACTTCCAGACTTTGAATGGAAAGGTACATAGTGGTTAATAACACCATTATAACAAATCTCGTATCAACAGTGGCAGCTGCTTAAGCCCTGCGTGGTCTAATGTGACCTCACTAGCTTCCGTGAATAGGAGTCCCAAACAATGGTGCCTGAGGATGCCATGGTCTCCTCCAGCACCTTTCATGGCACCCACCAAATGTTTCTAGAATGTGGGTGGGACTAGGTGGGGCTTTCACCTGTTTGGCCACTGGAGATCTGGTTGGCTGTGCAGATTTTTACAGGTGTTGCTTTGGTGGCAGCTGCTACCACAGCAAAAGGATCTTCACCATGCCAGCCCTTTTGTAGCTTACTTCTACTTCTGGTGGCAACCATTTTGTGGCTGCGCCCCTGACACTGCGTCAGAACTTCAGAGGCGCCCACAGGCTCAAAAAGGTTGGGAATCCCTGGAATAAATGAACTGTAAACAGAATTCAGGCGTAATAATTTAAACCCCAGGAGGAAAACCTAACCATTCCTATCCTAAAACCCATGTTTAAATTTGCCCTTTAGTTAAACACTGCAAAATGTCATCAACATGGCATTGTAGAGGGTATTTTGGTGTGTTCACGTCTGGATTACTTGCAATACCTATTGCTTTATATACAGAAGACGTTAAAATGCTCTCTTGACCATTTCTCTTGTCTCTTTGTAGGAAATCTCCATACAAGGAAATCTGGTTGTACTGGGGACTGGCTTTAATCATCGTAGCTCAGTACCTGTTCTCTTTGAGGAAACTTTCTACAATGAGCGAGAGGAGAGTTTCAGTATCCTATGCATAGCTCATTCTCTAGAGAAAAATGAAACTGTAGGTGAGTAATGACACCCGTGTCTTGGTCAACTATTTCCCTCCCCTTTCAATAGTCTACCTTTTAATAGCCTGATTAGGGGACATAATAAGGGAGGCCTGGAAACACCTTGTGAACCAGGGGAATGAGGAACACTGGGTTCACCCTAGCAGGTTTAAGTGAAAAATCTCATAGTAAACTTCACTTTCAGAGACCAGGAAGAGCCGTTCTCCCCACCTCCCTCCATTACTTCATCAATACGGGAATCCTTAAAAATGTCTGTAGTGTGTCTGGCTTGTATAATTCTAAAAGTGATTGGCGACTTTTCTGCACGCTGTCTTCTTGTTTCAGAAGAGTCCTTGACGCCATCGAATTCCTATTCCCTGAAAACTACTGAAGATGTGAAGGAGTTCTTGGGAAAGCACGCTGAGAAGTTTGACAAAGCGATTGCATCTTTCCACAGGACCTTCAAGGAGCATGACAGGAAAAGTCTGCGGCACTACATAGTCAGTATTTCAATGTCTGGTTTCGCTTGGATTGCATGGTGTAAGTCTTTCTTCACCTGCCTGGTATAATAATGACAATGACAAGGCTGTGAATCTTGTACAGGTTCTAGAGAGCTGGTATGGTATAGCCACGCTGCAGTGTTTGGCTAGGACTGGAGAGAGCTGTGTTCAAATCTTGGATATAAAGCTCATTAGGCCACATTGGGGCGGACTTGCTCTCTCAGCCTAACCTTCCTAAGGGAGGGGTGTTGCGAGCGTAAATTGTAGGATGGGAACATGGTGCATGTCAGTCTTAAGTTTTTTTTTCTTCATTTATACCCCACTTTTCCCAGCAATGAGGACTGTAAGTGAGTTACCTCATTCCCCTCTCCATTCATTTTATCCTCACAACAACCTTGTGAGGTAGGTTAGGCTGAGAGCGTGACTGGCCAAAAGGTCACCCAGCAAACCTGCATGGCAGAGGGGATTTGAACCTAGGTCTCCCATATCCCAGTCAGACACACTAACCCCTACACACCACTGCCTCTCACTCTGGTGGAGAACTTTTTCCATCAAAGAAACATCTAGCACAAGGGAATATGTGGATCGAGCCCAGAACTTTTTTTTTGGATCACTGCAAATAAACTCTGTGGCCATGTGAACTAAAACTTCTTAAGCTGGAGTTTAGAACCTGTGGTTTCTCGAGGAATGGGCTACAAGTACACCCAGTTCAAGTGTCAGGCTTATTCTGCTCCTTTCTGCATGCTTATTTTGTTTATTTTTAATGCTTCCCCTTGATAAGCATCTTGTGAAGAACTCCACGCTTTTTCTTTTTTCAGGATTCTGTAAATGCACTGTACACCAAATGCATCCAGCAGTTACTGAGAGACTCCCACCATGTGAGTGCCGATGGATTATAGACATACAGTGAGCTGCTACCTTTTAGACTAAGTGTGCTTAATGTTGCTTTTCCCTCTTCCATATTTAGAGGATGCTTGCGAAGCAGGAACATCAAATGAATCTGATGAAACAAGCTGTAGAGGTAAGTGGAAACTTCTGGGTTTTTTTGGGAGGGGGGATTTCAGAATTACTCGGCATGGGAGCAGTTGCAGTGCCTGCCGTATTGGATTTCACAAAGCTTTACAGCCGAGGGGATTTTTTTGAACTTTGGCCTTCTTTACCAAGAGATCCTGAGGCACTTGCGGTACCTTGGCTTAATCTACTTCAAGATGGGAAGAGAGCCACTGTGACCCTGAACTTCCTAATTGAAGGGTGGGTTTAGTATCTAACCAGAGGTCATTTCGGGGGGCATCGCAGTTCCCCCAGGTGAGGTACGGGGGGTGGGGCACATGATGAAGCCCCGCCCCCTGCTTCCGGCCGCCCCGCTTCCGGCCCTCATTCAGCCAGGAGGAGGCAGGAGAAGAGGGAGGGTAAGTTGCTTCCTCCCTGCCTCTCCCCACCCCGTGGCCTTATGACACACTTCTGGTGATGTCAGGGGGGGTGGCCTTATGACACACTTCTGGTGATGTCAGGGGGTGTGGCATATGCTAATGAGTTGTGCTAATGAGTTCCCCTAGCTCTTTTTCTACGAAACGACCCCTGTATCTAACCTTTAATTTATGTATGCTTCCCCCCCCCAGATGTATGTCCACCATTCTCTTTATGATCTGATCTTTAAATACGTGGGAACCATTGAGGCAAGCGAGGTAGGTGTCCTCCATCAGTCGTTTCACCAAGAGGGCTGTCCTCAGTCATCTTGCATTCTCTTTCTAGGACCAGAAAATAAAATTCACTTTGTCATGTGGCACTTAAAGAGCCAGTTTGGTGTAGTGGTTAAGTGCACGGACTCTAATCTGGGAGAACCGGGTTGGATTCCCCACTCCTCCACTTGCAGCTGCTGGATGACCTTGGTTCTGTCAAAGTTCTGTCAGAGCTGTCCTTGAAAGAGCAGTTTCTGTCAGAGCTCTCTCAGCCCCACTTACCTCACAGGGTGTCTGTTGTGGGGAGGGGAAGGGAAAGGAGTTTGTAAGCCCCTGAGACTCCAGGCAAGGTATAAATCCAGTCCCCCGCCCCCCACTCTGAGCATTTCTACCTTGGAGAATTTGTATCTGTCCTTAATTGTAGTTGTACTAGGGGAAATATACAGAAAGTCTCCAAGGTGCGCCCAGAAGAGCTGCTTCTCACTGCTGTATTAAACGGCTTTCTCTGTATCCCTTCACTAGGATGCGGCTTTCAACAAAATCACAAGAAGTCTGCAGGATCTGCAGCAGAAAGATCTTGGCGTCAAGCCTGAATTCAGGTGAGCTAGAACACACCCACCTCCTTTCAAGGCTTTCCCACCCAGCCCAGGTTGTCTGGGAAGTAGCTGGGATGTCAGCCAGGACAGCTAGTAGCCAGACCTGCTTTCTCTTTCAGAGAGCACCTAGATTTTGTCATGCTGCTGCTATATACTTTGTGTTCCATTCTCAAGAACAAACGTTCCAGTTTGGGGACCACGGTCCATGTACTTTAGTTGCCTTCACAGGAGATGGTGGCTTAACAAGCCATACGTTTATTTTTGAAGGGCTGAGGGTAACCTGTTCCTGCCTGCCTTGAGCCTAAGAAGAAACATATCTGCTGCAGCAGCAAATGAAAGAGGTCTCACAGCTCTGGATGCACACCAGTGCATAATCTTGATAAGCGCAGGTCTTTTAGACACAGGCTTGTGCTATAGCTCATACTCTGAGCATTACCAGAGCTGTACTTTTAGCAGCAGCTCAGTCTTAAAGTAAGCTTGGTGAAAACTCAGTACTTGACTGTTCCCATGGTCTTGGGGTGTGATGTCAAATAATCAAACCTCTAGTGGCTATACCTTCTGAGCACTGTACAATTTCTTTTTCTTTTGACAACCTGCTTTCCAGCTTCAACATACCACGTGCCAAGCGAGAACTGGGCCAGCTGAATAAGTGTACCTCTCCTCAACAGAAGCTCCTCTGTCTGCGAAAAGTGGTGCAGATCATAATGCAGTCTCCAAGTCAAAGAGGTTGGTAACCATGACGACGAAATAGTACATGATCGCCGCTGTGCTTGAAACCGCTCTCCGTGCTTCTCAAAAATGGAACGTTTCAGTTGCTTTTTGCCTATTGTCTCAAAAATGGAACGCTTCAGTTGCTTTTTGCCTATTGTCACTTGAGCTTGCCTTGAGCCAGAACATCTTAAATGTTTGAGTCAGAGTACGATGCTTGTATTGAGATGAAAAGTGTAAAATATAGATAGCTGTACAAGGGTTGTACCTGGCACTGGTTAATCCAGTATTTAGCTGCGTCCTAGGAAGTACTGCAAAGATGGTTCAAATAAAACAGAAAGGGCTTGATGAAACTGGGAGTAGTTCGCTCTGTCCCACACACATTCGTCTGCTGATTAATTTAAGTTTAGAAGAAGAGTTGAATCTATGCCCTGCCCTTCGCTTAGAGTCTGAGTGGTTTACAATCTCCTTCATTTCCTCTCCCCACAGTAGACACCCTGTGAGGTAGGTGGAGCTGAGAGAGCTCTGAGAGAACTGTTCTTGAGAGAACAGTGACTGACCCAAGGTCACCTAGCTGGCTGCATGTGGAGAAGTGCGGCATCAAAGTTGGTTCTCCAGATTAGAGTCCGCTGCTCTTAACCATTACACCAAAGTTTGTATGGGTAAAGTGAGATACCTAAAGAAAAAGTCATATTTTGTCTTTAAAACGTTCTCTTTTGGCATGGGGCAGACAGGGAATGCATCTGAAACGGTGCTTTTCGTACCTTTTTTTTTAACAAAATCTGCTGCTCAATTAAGCAGGGGTCACCCTGTTTCAAACTTCCAATTGGCTAAGCATTGCTAGTTATAATTTATACAACTTCATATGTAGGTAGGAAGAATATCTGCTCAAATCCTGTTTTTGCTAGTCATGGTGAAGGAAGCCCCTGGCCATTACAAACCTCGTACAGCAGCTGTTTGCATTTCTGAGATTGAGTAGCCACTGCTCACATAACCTTTTAGGACCATGTGTGCTCATGAACTTGCTTTAAAGTAAGTGCTGAGGTCTTCAAGCAGTGGAATCCTGAACTCAGCACTACATTTAATAGCTATTCTGCATTTGAGAAATGTAGCGTATTTTACAGGAGTTCTAACTGGATACTGAAAAAGTTGTGTTTGTTGCTTTTTTAACTAAAACCTTTGAAATAACAAGCTCTGTCCTTCTATGCAGGGTGCATAAGCCCTTTCTTCATTGGTACACCACAACTCTCTATGCTAACGTGAAGTAATTCAATAAAGGGAAAAAAAAAAGATGCATCAATGTTTTGGAGCAAATACACTGTATAGCAGGCATGTCCAACTTCAAACAGGTAGTGATCTATTTTTTCCTGCCAAAAGTGCCGGTGATGAAAATAGTTTCAATGAAACCATGTAAATAAAGTTTCAAATTAGTTTCAAATTAGATTTTAACCCACTAAAGTTGGGTTCCACCGGCCCCCCCCCCAATTTATAATGCACCTTCTGTCATTTACTAGTAAGGGGCTGGTGATCTACCTCTGACCCCTCCGCGATCTACTGATAGATCGTGATCTACCTGTTGGACATACCTGCTGTATGGGGTCTAATGGTGGCTTCCCTTTCTGGGAAGGTGTCCCATAATCTTCCAAAAAATTATTTTCTGGTTGTCCTAAACGTTACTGAGATACTTCTTTCGTAGAGCATCACCATTCTGCCACTGGTCTGCTGCTTCTAGGGGAGGAAATCTTTTTCGGCTTGAGACATCACATAGTTGAGTTAGAAATTAATGCCCAAAAATAGAAGAAATTTGTTCTGGTGCTCCACAGGTAGCGGGAATATAGTAGACTCTCCACTCACTGGAACACAAGCTGCCTAACTAATTTTTCAGTAAACCATTTGGCAGAAGAATTTGATATGAGCCATTCTGAGGATAGACACGCCTGATAATATGAATGTTAATGCATTTTCTGTACCTTTTTGATGGGTTCAGAAAAGAAACAGCATCCCAAAATTGTGAGGGTGGAAAAACACTGGTCAGTATTAAAGAAGCGGTTTAGCGAATTGAGTTCAGCACTCCCTGGATGGTAACAGAAGGTGTCCTTGTTACTCGTAGCAACTGGTCTCTGGATCCAGTCTTGGCCTGTTGCTGAACCCAACCCACACCATGCAGAAGTCTGTTTCTGAGGTTCCTTCTGTTGCATAAAATAGCTTGGAGCTGAGGCTGCAATATGTTGCTCTGTTATTCTTAACTTATGCTGCTATGAAGACCTTAATCTACCTTGCTAGATAGAATTGTAGTTGCTTTGCCTAGGTATGCAAGCTTTCAGTCATGGTTAGGCAATGAATCTCAGCTTTTCCAGGGGGGAGAGGGTGTAATATTTTATTTATCTTAAATGTGACTCCTGTTCTTGTATGGTGAATCTTTTTTCCAGTTAACATGGAGACCATGTGCGCTGATGACCTCCTCTCGGTCTTGCTGTATTTGCTTGTAAAAACAGAGATTCCAAATTGGTATGTAGTATATGCTTCTATTCTCCAGAAAATACTGCTGTCATTAAGTATTGGTGGGGAAGGAAACTTTGGACATTTCCTCTCCTCTGCCTATCACCTGGGGCCAGGAAGACCCTGTCTTATCCCTTTTTGCTTGTTTGTTTTTAAAAACCCTCACTAGGAATGATAATACTGAATCTTTGGGTCCTCTACTTGAAAGTCTGGAGAGATGCTGCTAGTCTGAGTAGATAATACTGACCTTAATGGACCAATGGTTTAATTCAGTAGAAGGCAGCTTCATACGTGCCCTGCTGGTAGAAACTAACTTGGTGTAGTAGGAGTCCATTGTGTTCTAACCTTTCCTTGAAGGTATCTGTAACTAGAGCTAGTCTTCTTTTATACTTTCATATTGAAATGGCAGTGCGTAGGAGGAACCCAGGCATGTAAACGCCACTTTCATGACAAGCTCTAGGCTGTGAGTCTGTTCAGCTCCATCTTGCTTTAAAATGGGCGCAAAGATACACATTTGCCGCTTGAAAGGCTCTGAGAAACTGACTTCATTGTCAGCTGTGCATGCCGATGGAAATACTAGATAGTAACCTAATCTACAGAGATTATGTTGATGCAAGAAGGAAGCGGGTTGATCTTGCCCGGTTCCCTCCTCGCT